GCGGAGGAGACGTCGCGCGACAGCAGAGGTTAAAACGAGGCGAAGATCGGGACAAAATCGGATCGGGATAACTCGAAATCTCTGAGAATCAGCGGGTTTGGAGGATGTATTGGGCGCCGCGGCCGCTCCAGAGCGGTCCGGAACGCTCTGAGAGCGCTCCGGAACGCTCTGGAGCGATTTATCCCGATCCTAGCCCTGTTTTAGAGGTCCACTTCCTCCGCCTTCCGCCACCGCGTCTTCGACCACATCCAACTCCTGTCCCCCCTGGCTCAGCATCCCCCTCCTCCATCACCACGTCCTCCTCCTGCCGCGGCCCACCTCCACCTCCGGCCGTGCTCCTGCCGTGGTCCTCCTCCACCGCCTCTTCCGTCACCACGTCCAGATCCTCCCCTTCCACCACGGCTTCCCCCCTCCGCCACCTGTGTTCTTCTGTGTTCGGCATTGGCCTGTGCTCTTATGTGGTCGGAAACTGGCACAATACCAGTTCTGCTCAATCCCGCTTAGTCTGGCTCAATCCTGGGCTTAAGCCTGCTTGGTCTTGCTTAATCTCCCCTCAATCGGTCTCAATAGCCTTCTTCTCATAAGACTTCCGAGGACATGGTTCCTCACATGTTTTTCTTCCTTCACGTCCCCTCCGCCACCCCCGTGTATGGAGGAGGTCTCCCAAGTTTGATCAAGCAGAACCTCGGTAGCCATTTTGGCTCAAGGCGTTTTCGCTTCATGGTTGCCGCTTGCCGATCAGCAGTCAGCGCCGAGACGCCTGTCAAGAATGGAGAGGTCAAACCAAAGTTATTCGGAGTAGAGGTCCCGCCAGACATTGTTCGTCCTCTTGTGCGCTTTCTTTTTCGTGGTGGGCGGTGTTGTTTTGCTTATCCCCTTGACTAGGCAAGTGAAGCACAGCTCGCTACGACGCGATGTTGCCTCGTGCTTTGGTCGACCAGTTGGTTTTCGCAGCGGCGATTTCGAGAAGCAGGTGGCTGCAACATTGCAAGAGAGATTGATGCCTCGTGCCCTCGCAGCTCTTCCGTGCGAAAGTGGCGCCGTTTAATGTATTGCAGTTTCATCGCTATTTCGAACCACATTTCTAGGCCCACGCATGAATTTAGTCACACAGGATGTTGTAGTCATGGTGGTCAGTTTCGCAACTCTCTTGTTGTGGGCGTGCCTTCGTCTCTTGACGAAGATAATGCTGGACATTGGCCTTTCTCGCTGGTTGCATGTGTCACGCTAGCTGCTAGTTTACTCTCCAATTGCAATGGACAGAGATGATGACTGCTCCTTATATACTACCATTTGGTGGTACGATGGTGTTATCCCAAGTCAACATGAACGTCAGGCTTAACTTAGCATGGAATTGTGTGTGTGGTATGCGCCTCGGTCTCTAGCGCGATCATGTTTGGTTCCGAGGGCGTGTGCGAAGACAGCTTGCTGCCACCCCCTGTGGACAGGGTTCCTCATGTGGTCGGGTCGACACTCGTCTTTATGATCGTTGTCGCCTCTTTTCACCATTCGCTTGTCTCGGTTGCCCAGTAAGATATCGATGCTAACACTACCAGGAACGAGCTACTGGCGGCGCTGCTCGGTGTTTGCGACGCTGTGGTGGAGTTCGACAGCGAGTTTCGGCTGCAGGACAGAGCCCCCGATCTCGTGAATATGCTGTTGTTGAATCCTCAGCGCTCCCTCCAGGGAGAGGATCTGAGGTCATTCCTGGCGTCCAAGCAGGATCGCGAGAAGTTCGCTGAACAGATGGGTTGGGCGTGGCTTTCGGGCAAGGATATTGTGGGGCTCAGTGCAGCGTTCCACGTCTCCATGAAAGATGGCTCCAGCATCCCCCTCGACGTCGAGGTGTTTTGCGTGAGCTTCGTGAACCAAGATGGCCACGCGGTTTACTTCGCGGGCATCCGCGAGTTCACCGACAGCAGCCCGATTCTCCAGACTTGGCCGACGTCTGATCGGCGCCGCGACCACTCAATCTGAAAAAAGTGCTGTTCAGACTCTGGGGCGCCCCCAGACTCTGGGGGTTGGGGGTTGCTCCGACTTTGTCTCTCGTTGTCCGACTGTGTCTCCTCGCTCATACCCACTGCCTCCTTCTCCTGGTCCTCCTCCCTGTTTCTCTTCCTACTCCCTCTTCGCCTGCTTTTCCCAGTCCTTTTCTTCCTATTCCTCCTTTTCCTCCTCCTCCTCCTCAACCTACTCCTCCTCCTCCTCCTCCTCGCCCCCAGTGCGCCCAGGAGGCTTTCAAGATGGCCCCATGACGGCCCAGGAGGCCCCAAAGACGGCCCCAAGAGGCCTCTAAGACGCCCAAGATGGCCTCCAAGACGGCCCTGAAGCGCCTCAAGAGGACCCCACATCGGTTCAGAGAGGCCCCCAAGACACCTTCCGACGGCGTCAGACCCGTCAGACGGGCCAGGAACGCTTTAAGACGGCCAAGGAGAGGCCCCCAAGACGCCCCCAAGGCACCCAAGAGGCTTAAGGAGGCCCCCAAGAGGCTTCCAAGAGGCCCCTGGGAAGCCCCCAGGAGGCCCCACAAGAGTGCCCCAAGAGGCTCCCAAGAGGCCTCCTCCTCCTCCTCCTTCTCCCCTTCCTCCCTCTCCTGATCCTCCCCCTCAGCCTCCCCCAAGTGTTCCCCGAGAGTTTCTCGAGCGGCTAGGGGAATACATAATCTGATAGCTTGGCCAAGCTGGGGCCCGACGTTTGGCCACATAGGCGCTTCTCAAAAAGGCTGGGGGCGGCGGTGATTCGCCGTAGGCGTCTTAGATCCGCCGCCCCCTGTGCTTGCCACAGGGGCGGACGGCGTGCCAGACATTTTGCTGCTCTTGTTACTTTCAAACCCTTCCCAGTGGCCTTTGGCCCAGACCGCCTGTCCCTCGGAAGGACCAGAAGTTGTGGCCCACATCGCCAACAATACGGCCCAAATGGCCCAAGATGGCCACCAAGATGCCTCCAAGGCGGCTAGGATTGCCCCAAGGTCTCCAAGACGGCCCAATATGCACCCGAGGCGTTCCAAGATGGCCCCAAGATAGCCCAGGACGGCCCCAAAGGCCCACAAGAGGCTTCCAATGCAGTCCAAGAAGCCTCCAAAGGGACCTGCAGGAAGGCCCGAAGAAGCAAACACAGTTGATTTCCCGTGGGGTCTTGACGGATTTTGACGTTTTCGGCCTGCCGACGGCCCAATGCCTCCGAAGAGACCCCCAAGATGGCCCCAAGAGCGCCCAAGAGGCCTCCAAGACGGCCCCATGACGGCCTCCAGACGGTCCAAAAGGCCTCCAAGGCGCCTCCAAGACGGTCCACGAGAACTCCAAGGCGCCCACGATGGCCTTCAAGACGGCTCCAAAACGCCCAAGATGGCAACGATACGATTCGACATAGCCCCAGGATGGCCCAAGACAGCCCCAAAGGGCCCCAAGGGGATCCAAGGGGCCTCCTAGACAGTCTAGGAAGTCTTCAAGAGGACCTCCAGGAGAGCCCGAAATGCCCAAATGGTTGTATTCCCTTCAATTGTTGAATAATTTGGGCGCGTTTTCTTTTTCGGCTGTCCGACGGCCCAAGATGTCCACAAGATGGTCCCAAGACGGCCCAAGCTGACTTCAAGATGGCCCCAAAAGGGCCCCAAAGGGCGAGGAAACAGTCCAAGAGGAAGAGCAAGAGGAAAGGACAAAATCAGAGGCCCGAAGCGGCTCCGAGAAGCCTGCAGCTCAGCGCGGGCTCGTCTGCGGACGCCCTTGCCCCCCCCAGGAAAAACATATCACCCCGAGGCCCGGTGATGTTTTGTGGGGCCGCCATCTCAAAGCCCCACGGCCAGCTTTTGGGTCGAGGAGGAGGAGGGGCAGGAGGACGAGGAGGAGATCAACAGGAACCAGAGGAGCAGGAGCAGCAGGAGGACGAGGAGTTTGAGCAAGGGGTCAAGGACGGAATGATAGGCCAGAAGCGGCTCCGAGACCAGACCGCGCTGAGCTGCTGGGTTTTCGGAGCCGCTTAAGGCCTCTCATTTCGTCCTTGTCCCCCTGCTCAACCTCCTCGTCCTCCTGCTCCTGATTCTCCTGGTTTTGCTCCTCTTCTTCCTCGACCCAAGAGCCGGCCGTGGGGCCTTGAAAGGGCGGGCCGAAAAAATGTCACCGGGTCTCGGAGCCGATGCGGCCAAAAAGAGGCTGCCTTGCAGGCTGTCTCGGAGCCGCTGCGCCAAAAGAAGGACACCTTGTCGGTTTAACTACTAGGTCGCTTTGTCGGCTGATTCCGGGCGCGTCGTCATCGTGGTCGTCGTTGTCATCGTCGTCGTCGTGGTCGTCGTCGTCACCACCATCGTCGTGGTCGTCGTCGTCGTCGTCGTTGTCGTCGTCGTCGTCGTCGTCATCGTCGTCGTCGTTGTCGTTGTCGTCGCCGTCCATAAGATGGCCCCGAGAGGACCCTAAGAGGGCCCCAAGAGAGCCCCAAGAGGGCTTCGAGAGGGCCCCAAGTGGGCCCCAGGAGTTGTGCAACAACCCAGCGGCCGCTGGTACATAACTCCTGGGGCCCTCTTGGGGCCCTCTGAGGGCCCTCTTGGAGCCCTCCTGGGCCCCTGGTTGGCCCATGAGAGGGCTCCAAGAGGGCCCTAAGAGGGCCCCAAGAGGGCCCCAAAAGGGCCCCAAGAGGCCCCAAGAGGGCGCCAAGAGGGCCCCAAGAAGGCCCCAGGAATTATGTACCAATCCAGCGGCCGCTGGTACATAACTCCTGAACCCTCTTGGGACCCTCTGAGGGCCCTCTCGGAGCCCTCTCGGACCCCTGGTTGGCCCTGTAGGGCCCCAAGAGGGCCCCAAGAGGGCCCCAAGAGGGCCCCAAAAGGGCCCCAAGAGGGCGCCAAGAGGGCGCCGAGAGGGCTCCAAGAAGGCCCCAGGAATTATGTACCGACCCAGCGGCCGGTGGTACAGAACTCCTGGGGCCCTCCTCCTCCTCCTCGGCGACGACGACGACGAGGAGGTGTAAACGCACCCTTACCCAGCCCCTGCAGGACCAGGCAGCGATACTTGGACCAAATTTCCTGGCCCCTGTTTCGACCCCAGAATTCTCGACCCCGTCCAGGAGCTCCCGACCCCAACCCGGAGCTTTCGGCCCCATCCTGGAGCTCTCGACCCGCAGACGACGGCGACGACGATGACGACGACGACGCCTCGACCTGGAGTGGTAAGTTTTGCTGCTGCTTTTCCCCAGGGGTTTGGAGCCCTCGGGGCCCAGGGGGGCCCCGAAACGGATCCGAAGCCTCAAATTTTTCCGGCCCGCGACCGACGACCGGCGACAACGACGACGACGACGACGACGACGGGCATAAGTTATTTGGCGCCCCCCCTTGGGAGCATCGGGTAACTGGGGGGTGCGCTCCACACCCCCCACTTACCCGGTGTCCCCCAGGGGACATCGGGTAACTCGACCTTGCAGGGGGGGGTGTTAGGCACGGGTTACCCGGTGGCGAGGGGGGGGCATCGGGTAACTCGACTTTGCACGGGGGGGAGTCGGGCATGAGTTACCCGGTGTCCCCTGGGGGACATCGGGTAAGCGGGGGGTGCGCTCCACACCCCCCACTTACCCGGTGTCCCCCGAGGGGCGTCGAGTAAGTCGACCTTGCAAGGGGCGCATTCGGCATTATTCAGTAAACCGGTGGACCCCCATGGGACATCGGAGTTACCCGGTGGTCCCCGTGGGACATCGGCCCGTGGGACATCGGAGTTACCCGGTGTCCCCCGGGGGACATCGGGTAACTCGACATTGCAAGGGGGTCTGGGCATGGTTACCCGGTGGCCTCCCGTGGGACATCGGAGTTACCCGGTGTCCCCCGTGGGACATCGGAGTTACCCGGTGGTCCCCGTGGGACATCGGCCCGTGGGACATCGGAGTTACCCGGTGTCCCCCGTGGGACATCGGAGTTACCCGGTGGTCCCCGTGGGACATCGGCCCGTGGGACATCGGAGTTACCCGGTGTCCCCCGTGGGACATCGGAGTTACCCGGTGGTCCCCGTGGGACATCGGCCCGTGGGACGTCGGAGTTACCCGGTGTCCCCCGGGGGACATCGGGTAACTCGACCTTGCAAGGGGGGGTCTGGGCACGAGTTACCTGGTGCCCCCCCGTGGGACATCGGAGTTACCCGGTGTCCCCGTGGGACATCGGAGTTACCCGGTGGTCCCCGTGGGACATCGGCCCGTGGGACATCGGAGTTACCCGGTGTCCCCCGTGGGACGTCGGAGTTACCCGGTGGTCCCCGTGGGACATCGGCCCGTGGGACATCGGAGTTACCCGGTATCCCCCGTGGGACATCGGAGTTACCCGGTGGTCCCCGTGGGACATCGGCCCATAAGATGGCTCCAAGGGGTCCCTAAGACTGGGCTGGTACATAACTCCTAGGGCCCTGTTGGGGCCCTCTGAGTGCCCTCTTGGAGCCCTCTTGGGCCCCTGGTTGGCCCTAGGAGTGCCCCAAGAAGGCCCCAGGAATTATGTACCAATCCAGCGGCCGCTGGTACATAATTCCTGGGGCCCTCTTGGGGCCCTCTGAGGGCCCTCTTGGAACACTCTTGGGCCCCTGGTTGGCCCTAAGAGGGCCCCAAGAATGCCGCAGGAATTATGTACCAACCCAGCGGCCGCTGGTGCATAACTCCTGAACCCTCTTGGGGCCCTCTTGGAGCCCTCTTGGGCCCCTTGTTGGCCCACATGATGGCTCCAAGAAGGCCCTAAGAGGGCCCCCAAACGGGCCCAAGAGGGGCCCAAGAGAGGCCTCAGAAACCGCTAGTAGGTGTCATCGATCAGCGCGTCTGGATGAGACCTCTCAGTGGTCTCTGGGGCGCGTCTTGGAGCCCTCTTGGGGCCCTCTGGAGCCCCCTGGGTGCTCCCAAAAAGGTTCCAAGGGACATCCGAAGGGGTGGAGGAGGAGTTGGACGGGGAGTGGAGGGGGAGGTGGAGGGGGGGCTGAGGTGGGTGGTGGAGGGGGTGGAGGCATAAGGGGTGGAACCTGGGCCCGGGAGCGCCGGGCGCGCCGGGAGCGCCGGGAACGCCGGGAGCCCCGGGAACGCCGGGAGGCCGGCCGGGAACGCCGGGAGCGCCGGCCGGGAACGCCGGCCGGGAACGCCGGGAACGCCGGGAACGTCGGGGACGCCGGGAACGCCGGGCACGCCAGGAACACCGGGCACGCCGGGAACGCCGGGCACGCCAGGAACGCCGGGCACG